AAAAAAAAAAAAAAAAGACCCAATGTACTGCTGATGGCGCTTCTGGGGTCCTGCTTTTTGAGTACCCCCTTTGATATTTTGGTGGCACCTGGGAGAAGGTTCTGTGCCTCTGTGGCTGTCTGAATTCCTCTTCAAGCCTCCAGTCGGCCTCTGAGGCTGTTGCTTATTCCTAGTGCCTTGTGGAGGCCCTGAAGCCCCATTGTTGGACGGATGTGGCCATGCAGCCTGGCTGTGGCCCCTGCACTGACCGTATGGGACTGCGAGGCTCAGGTCTGTGCTGGGCGGCCTCACTCCCTCCCCTCTTCCCTCACACTTCAGGTTGCCAGTCGCTAGGTCGGCCCACGGGGCCACGGTGTACAGTGACAAGCTGTGGATCTTTGCTGGCTATGACGGCAATGCCAGGTGGGTGGTGGTCCGGCCTTTGTACCCCACCTCCGACTGCACTGAGACCCGGAGGAGGCCATCCTGGCATTTGAGGGCTTAGGCTGGGAGAGCTCTGCCTAGTAGATTTTGAGTGTCACTGTCTAGGGGTTTCTTGGGAGGGGGACAGGGAAAGAGGAGGATGGGCAGATGGAGGTGAGGACCACTGGGTGGAGCCCCATGGCTACCTCAGTTGCTCGGGTGAGGATCCTCATCCAGGAGTCGCCGTGCAGGGCTGAGTCGGTGGGCGGATGGGCGGTGCCCAGGCTCAGGCCCAGCCCTGGTTCTTGCCCAGGCCAAAGGCCTTTTCCTCCTTATTTTAGAAAGTTGGCTGTGCTCTCTTTTTCTGATTACAAAAGTAGCATGTGCTGGTTTCCCAAAACTTCAGCATCATAGAAACTCCTAACAATGCAGTGATGATGGTGGTGTCTGTGATATCTGTGTCCTCTCCCCACCCAGGAGGGACACAGCTGGCCTGCCACACTGCCCCAATGTCATGCATGAGAGTACTTGTTCTGTCTGGGCCGGGCAGGGGGCCCAGCACGGCAGGGATTTGAGGCAGTGCCTGCCACCCCACACAGAAGTTCCCGCCTCATGGCCGCACAAGTCCCCTACCCTGTGTGGGGGTGGGGGTCCTCCCTTCAGCCATCCCTTCCAGCCAGGACTGGCCCACCCTGACAGCCAGACCCAAGGGGTCCTCACTGGTCTGTCCTAATACAGGTTGAATGACATGTGGACAATTGGCCTCCAGGACCGAGAGCTCACCTGCTGGGAGGAGGTGAGGGGCACCGGGAGCCAGGGTGCAGGTGGAGGAGGTGAGGGGCGCAGGGAGCCAGGGTGCAGGTGGAGGAGGTGAGGGGCGCAGGGAGCCAGGGTGCAGGTGGA